AAAAATGGTATATCTGCAGTATTAGTGGACGACGTTCTAGTAATGCCTCTTCGGCCCTACTCATAAAGCAGACAGCAGGTATGCTTATGGTTCGCACATTGCAATAGCGTGTTTGAGGGCAAGTGTAGTAAGAGTTGGGCCTGGTTCGGTGTGGGAGGAGCACCAAATGGTACTTTGCTAAGCTTGTACAGGCAACCTTGTGGTGACCTGTAAATTTACTGTGATCACAGTGTCAAGTTCGCAGCTTCACAAGAGTTTACAGATCTGACCAAAGTGAGACGTGCAAGTTAGCCGGAAATAACAAATGGAACCAAAGAAAATGTAAAATGCTTCCTCCAGGCCGACCAGTGCCGAAAGTTGTGTAAGCAACGTGAACATATGCTGGCTTATGCCATATGTAATTGACCTTACACGTCGGTGTATACACCTTAACTCCATTACTCGGACATGAAGCTGCTGCATATGTACTTCATTTTATCGCCATGACGTGGAACACGATGAGCCCCTATTTGAAAGTTTTGCCACTTGGGACGGATGAGGATCATGCTTTGTCCATGATAAAACAAGATGGCAGTCGTTCTCGAAAGGAAACATCTCACCGTGCGCATCAGGCAGCGTTCAGACTTGTCGCGATGCGCCGCGATGCAACTGTCGCGCTTCAATTGTACCAGGCTGCAGCTTCCCTTTATGTTCTTTCTTCCGACTTTTTCACTGTTTCTCATTTCTACCTGATTCTTAGCTCTTCTTTTTCACTTTAACATTGACTCATCCTTCAAGCATCCCTTTACTGATTTTTAAGGTACTATTCAACTATTACTACCCCAATTTTCCGAAAACAGGCCGGATCTTGATCGACTTTTTTCTACGGGGCAGATTTGGCTGAAAGTTGGGTTCTAGGGGTAATTCGACCTCCTGAACACGAATATCACATTTACTTGGCTTGAAATTGCCTCGCGCCTGCGCCACAGGCGCCGGCGCCAAAGTACCCTAGATCACCAAATCCGCTGAAAACTTGTATACGGAGGTTATTTGACATCTTGATTACAAATATCACATTCATTTTTGGCGCTGGCGCTGATGGAAGACGCTGCGATCATCTGCGCTCTGCTAAGGCTGAGCCTGACTGAAGGAAATCACTCTTTCTCCCAGGCTCAGCCTTAGAAAAGCGCTAAATGGCGCTGGCGTCGAAAATAAATG